GGTGTGCCCACTCAAGTGGGATCCACGCAAATGGAAAAAAAAAAAGGAGGAAAAGTCAAAAAAATTGGCAGCCAACAATTCAAAGGTTGGCATGCAGTTTTGACAAAACATATACATGCACGGCTCTCTCGAATCCTCTCCTATAAATAGAGGATATGAGCCAAGGCTCAATACACAACTCGCAGCAGAATAGAAAATAGAGAGAGAGTTATAATTTTAGGAAAATTTCCTAAAATTAGGGGAGTAGAAAATAGTGAAGATTATTAAGGTGTTTTTGGGAAAAACACTATGTGAAGTGCCACTTAATTTTTGTTATTAAACTCCTCTTGGTAAGCCTACTATTTTTCAATAGTTGGTGAAGAAAAATATTCCGGAGTTGGTCCCGTGGACGTAGCCCTAAACAGTTAAGGGTGAACCACGTAAATTTCTGTTGTGTTAAGGGTGAACCACGTAAATTTCTGTGTGTCCCAAATTTTAATTTTTCCGCTGCTTAATTATTCTCGTATTTTTATTGCCGGTATCCTAACAAATAATACTATACCTTTCTTCAATAGATCTTGGATTACTCTGTTGCAGTGCAAATGATCATAGCTCCTACATTACTGCTGGGCTAACTTTTATGTAATAGGATTATAAATATAAGACCTACTCCCTTCATCTCATAAATAAAAATATTTCTATAATTATGGAAAAAATAATTAATGTGGTTAATTTATTATTTTTATTTAATTTTTTAATGTGTTCTTATATTAATTATTAAATAATTTATGTTATCTTATTATAATTAAATAAATCATACTGTCTTTGCTCCCTGTTTTCTTAACTTTTTTTTTTTTTTATTTCATTTTAGTTGTTACTTTTGAAAATGAAGGAAGTTCTAATTATTTTTCTTTTTCAACTTCATGTTTATGTATTGGTATCTTCAATAAAGGATAAATATATCCTAATATTCTTCTTAAAAAACTTAGAAATATGTTAACTTATTTAAGAATATTTAAAATTAAAAAATATTTGAATTTTCCCCTCAAAAAAATATGAATTCAATTTGGAATCATAACAACTTTGTGAAACAAAAGAAGAAAAAAAATTTTTTAATTCAATTAAGTTTTAGATTTTATACATATAAATGCTTAAAAATTATTAAAAAATTAAAAATTTTGTAAAAAAGAATAAAATGAATGCTAAGCTAAGAGAATGTCAACTCAGCTTCTGAAAGTTTTTTTTTTTTTTTGAGTTATATTATTTACCTTTTTTAATGTAAATATTTCTATTTGAGTTTACATATTATTGATTGAGTTAAATATTTCACCTTTTTTAATATTCGTATTCCTAATTAAATAAATAATGTAATAGAGTATGGTCTTCAAGATCATTGTTTCGCAATTCACAAAGAGTGATAATTGCTAATCAAGCCATTCATTTTGTGAACTCTAAATTTCATGTAAACCCTTAATTTTTCTTACTTTCAATTTTTTTTAAAATTACACTTTTAAGAGAGAAAAAAATTTTTACCTTTTATGATCCGAAGCAAAAGAATAATAATAGAACTATAGCCACTAAGTAGTGAAACTAGATATCAACGTCCGTGGAATTAATATCAGGGACGGAGCTAGAATTTAAATTTTGGAGAAATCAAAATAAAATTTTCAAAAATTAGGGGATCAAAATTAAGAAAAAAATTTTTTTAATTGAATTATAAAACAAAATTAAAAAAATTCTAGAGTTTGGGGGCCGGGCTTCCCTAGTTCTCCTCCCTTCGCCGCTCGTCAATATCATTTAAAAAATTGTATATAACTTCAAAAATATTATAATAGTGGCTTCATTATCAATTCTACCAAAGCTGTATTCTAAAAATATAAAATGAAAAGTAATTATTGATGTAATTATTAGACTTCTTTCTTTTTTTACTTGAAATAAAAAGTGTCATCTTTTATTAGTAAAATGTATCTTTCTCCAATCACAGTTTCCTTTCTCTTTTTTCCTTTTTTTTTTATTTTTTTTATTTATTAAGAGATCCAACAGGTAAAAATAATATTTCAAATAAATAATAGGATAACACCCTCCTTAATTTACCTAATTTTTTAAAAGTTTTTTTTAAGAGAGATAATGTGAAAAAGAAATAAAAATAATTTAAGGAGTCAAATAATCAACCTTAATAGGGTCAAATTGTTAAATTTAATTGTGTCAAAATTGTAAAACACACACACACATATATATTATATAATATAGATATATATATATATATAATGGAGATTAATAACAAACATAAAGAATAATGTATTATTTATTCTATAACCTTAATTTGGTCGGGTGGCCGGTATAGTTGGGCGGGGCGGTTCGTGTGTGTGACGGGCCGCGGTGTGTAAGTATATATATAATGGAGATACTTACAAACATAAAGAATAATGTATTATTTTTATCTATAACCTTAGCGGAAAAAATAATTTTATAATTATAATATCATCATTTAAATCACTATTTTTTCAATAAAAATTTATATTTTTTATCGATTTAATTTATAAATAGAGTTATGGATTCGGTCTAGACAAGTCAATTATTAAATCAAACATATTTTAAAATAAATATGAAATGAAAGTTAATATTAAATCGAATTAAGATAAATAATGAAAAATTAAGACAATGTAATAAATAATAATAGGAAACAATTAGCTATAATTAGTTAGATTTTCTTCGTAAGGTAGTTTCTTGGCTTTTCTTTAAAAGGTGATTACTATATTTATCAAGAATGATGATCATTGTCATTTTAATCCTCAATAAAAAAAAGTAATTTAATACAATAATTAATAAAATATAAAGAAAATTATAAAATTAATTGGTAGTTAGATAAAAATATTTTCTAAATATATAATTTCTAATTAAGATATGACAAAACTTCTATATTAGTAATTCTAAATATGATAAAATTTCTATGGTAGGATTGTAATTTAAAATATGACAAAACTTCTATAATAGGATTATAATTCTTAATATGATAAAATTTCTACAATAGGATTGTAATTTAAAATATGACAAAACTTCTATAATAGGATTATAATTCTTAATATGATAAAATTTCTACAATAGGATTGTAATTTATAATATGACAAAATTTCTATAATAAGATTATAATTTCCAATATGATAAAACTTCTATAATAGGACAAATTTAAAATTTTAACTTCTATAATAGGATTGTGATTCCTAATTAAGGTATGGTCAAGCTTCCACAATAGGACATTTAAAACTTTAACTTCTATAATAGGATTATAATCCTTAATTAAGATATGGTAAGTCTTCTACAATAGGATATTTAAAAATTTAATAACTTCTATAATAGGATTACAATCCTTAATTAAGATATGCTAAAACTTTCATAATAGGACATTAATTTAAAATTTTAATTAGTATAAAACGCTGAAAGAGGGAATGTATTGAGTTAATTACTATTAAATATTTTTTTATTTTATTTTAATAGTTTTATTTTATTTCTTAGTCGATATAATTTAGATTTAAATAAGAAACTAATATAATCAGGAAATTAGATTTTTATTTTTCAACAATAAAATTAAAAGATATTTTATCAATCTATAATTTTAGTAGGGCTATTTTTTGCGATCTCAATGTTTCCCCTACTCATTCCCATATATATATATATATATATAAATTAAAATCCAAATTAAATTAAAATTTTCAATTCAAATATTTCTAATTAAATTAAAATTATTTATCTTTTTTCATTTATTTTGTGAAAATATTACTTTCTAATTGAGTTAAATTAAATATTTATCCTTCTTCTAATATTAGAACTCATAATTGAGTTTAATTAAGTATTTCTTTGAATAAGAGTTAAATTGAGTTTAAGCATTCCTAATTGAGTCCAAAATATTCATAACTAAATTACAATATTTCTCCTTTTTTTTATAAAATTTTTAGGATATATTTATTTTTTTATTCATTAGGAAACTAATGATCGGTTACGGGTTACACAACAAGAAAAAATCCACCCTATAACTCATCAAATTAGTAAAAAATCATGTGGTTGAGAATAGTCAATCTCGAGACTTTTCACTCAACACATTAGTAAGAAGACTAATTAGACTTGATATATATTTATTATTTTAAATATTTATCCATTATTATTAAGATATATAATAAATCATTAAGGATACTTTTATCCATCAAATTATTCTACATTCTCATGTCTATTTCTCATGTCTATATATATATATATATTATATATATATATATATAGTATATATAATGATATAGGTATATACTTATTTTTTTTTTAAAAGGATTATTTGTGTTGTAACTCATTGCAGGTACTTCTTAATTTAATTTTTCATATTAAAGCATTTTTTTTAACATGTATTATTTGTTGTTTGTACTCATTGCAGGTACTCATAATTTAATTCTTCATATAAGCAACTGACTATTTATTATATATCAATGAGTAATGATATAAAAGTCCGAAATTGAAGTAAAATTGATAGAAAGATTAAAACAAAGCGAAATTACAAAAGCTTATAAAATTCAAAGTATTTTAATATATTAAACAAATTTAAGACGTATATTAAATGAGTCCAACTCAAGTTAACCAAAAAATTTAATAAAGGACGTGTTTACCTTAAACATAAGTACGGCAAATTTTTGTCCTTTCATAAAAAAAAAAATAAAAAAAAAAAAGTATGGCAAATTTTTGTGAGAATTTATTTTTAACAGAGTACACTTTATAAAATTAAGGAGGAAAATTAATAATAATAATAATAATAAAAAGAAACACAGGCCACATCACAGAGGTTCATGAATGTGGGTACCGACCACTAGGAGATTTAAAATAAAAAAAATAAATAAATAAATAAAAACTATTTTGATCAACACATAAAGTGGCATTAACAGTAAAATTGTACAAACACCACTTAATAAGATCATATCTAGCTTTTGGACGGCATATCGCACGCAATCATACAGTATCCATCATATCTTTCCACGCATGAAAAATGTGGGGGAGAAAATAATTTTATTAATCAATTTAGGTAAAGAATACAATTTTTGTTACAAGCAAACTGTGTTGGTCTCCCCATCCAAATGAAAAAACGAGAAAGATCAATTTACATGCATTGAATTATTGATCATTAGTTACTTTGACCAGTCATGATATCCATAAATGGTATATAAATATAATAAAATACCCATAAAGAAAACATTATTATAATCTTTGGGTATATTACTCTCCAAAGGCCTTATAGATCCTTGAGGATATATGACCATAGAAGACTTTTCAATGAGTACCTGTTTCTGGGAAAGTGAGGATGATTACTGATTAGGTACCAAAGCACCATTATATGTTCCACCATTTACGTTTCTCCATTTGTTTTGCAAGTTCTTGTGCCATTGATGCAAAGTTTTCAGCCCCGCTTTGCAGCTCTTCGGTTCGCTGGCTGAGCCTCTGGGTTAATAATAAAATAGAATATATAAAAATTAAATAGATTATTCAAGCATTTACAAACAAAAAAGAATGTTAATCAAGATGGTGGCCACGGGCATGTTTGGAACTATGTTCTTGTTCTAAATAGGTTATAGCACCGCATGTACCTTAGATTAATATGTTACAGCCATTTTTATGTGGGAGTCTCGTAAGTTACCGATTGAAGAAACTAAAACTTAAACATGGAAGTGCTCAACTAATCTTAGCAGTATCATCAGCACTTATGCTCTCTGATCTTCAAGAACTCAAGCAAATTATTATTGTATAAGTAAATAAACATGCATTTGAAGTCTAGCATTCTACATAGTATATCTATTCACTGACCTTCAGTTATGGTTCTATCAACAAATTAATAATGGACAAGTAACAGATGTTTAGTTAATTTCCAAATCAAGTAGTTTCACATAGGAGACTATTATTTGATTAGTTTAAGGTTACAGCCACCTTTTAGATGGTCTCAAATGCTGGACTGACTCTAATCAATCGAGGATATCCCTTAATTAGGTATGGGGGCTGAGATCATACTGGGATTGATCCAAAAGGATGAATGCATATAGCTAATCAAGGAATATGGAGCATAATCATTGGTTGTTCAAGTCTTGAACTTCCTATTAAGACTATTGTTTCAAAAAAACATAGTTGTAAAGGTGAAATACGTTCCTACATGAAACATTTCATCCAGCAAAATATACAAAAAAGACACCACGAGAAACTCTACCTGAAGCTTTTCCTGGCGTTCTACAAGCTTGTCCTTCGCTTGTGCAGCTGCAGCAGCAGTATCCTGGGAAAATTGACAACCATGTCAGAAAAATATAAGCCGCAAAATTAATCCAGTGAGATTATTCATATTATAGATTACCTCCTTCCTATATTTAGCTTTAATTTCTTCAGCTGTTCTAAGTCTTGGCTCTGAATCAGAAGATGCACCCTCAAATAATCTTTCCTTTTCTGTTCCTTTAGCTGCAGAGCAACAAGAAGATTGCTTAAGCACAATTCATAAGTTAAAATACATACCTTAGTATGAGGAGGTTTAGGTCAAACAATTCATAAGTTAAAATACATACCTTAGTATGAGGAGGTTTAGGTCAAACATTTTGTATCTTTCTTATTTGCCTCTGATGAGGGCAAGACAACAAGAGGCTCATCAAAATCAATGTCATCTGCAACAAAACAGCAGCAATGAGGGGCGAAAAAGACAATACAGATGGGAACAAAAGAAGATGGGTGAAGCAGGTAAAGAACCTATGCTTAGATCCGAAACTTTCTGGTCATCTGAGAAGTCCATTGAAGGCTTTAAGAATGGGGGATAGGAAAATATGCTCTCTAAATGCGCAAAGGTATCCTTACAAACTTCAGGAGGATCTGCACTGTGCTGCACGTTGCCCATTTGCAGGCCCTTAATGAAACCCCCCAAAATACCAGAGGAAACACCCTGTTGCCACAAAACTAAAGGATTATTCAGACGCAATGTGAAAAGAAAGATAAGGATTGGGAAGCCCAAAAGATAAACTTCAACCTCTGTTTTCTTGTGAGTAGGACATAAGCTGACAGTGGCATCAACAGCAGCAGCAAGGACTTTATCATGAAGGCAAGGTAATGACTCTGGAATCCTAATATTAGCAAAGAATTCTTTTAGAAAAAAGAAATGGATCTTCATGATTAAAGTTCAAGGCTTATAACTGCATAGCAAATGTGGATGCAGGGGGAGAAGAGAGAGAGAGAACCTGAAGCTAAAGAGAGAGAGAGAACCTGAAGCTATTTTCAGTGCCCAGAAGAGAAACAGAAGCAAATTCACATGCATTTACCTACAATATAACAATGTCAGCCAATCAAGTTAGTTATTATCGCCAAGCTACAATATCCAAATTGATGATGTTAAAATGAATACTGATACACTAAAGTGAACTCAAAAATTATGTTGCTCAACCTAGGATTTCTGCTACTGCAATCTTGATATATGAGTTTGTAGCATTATGACAAACATGGGAAGGAAGTCCTAGGGGCAATCTATATTACCAGTCATCTATTATATCAATCTGTGGAAACAAATTCTAGAACTTCCAATGTAAAAATATGAAATGAAACTCTGGAGCACATTTAGATCTAAACACCAAACAAATTCTAGAACTTCCAATGTAAAAACATGAAATGAAACTCTGGAGCACATTTAGATCTAAACGCCCTACAAATACATGAGAAGATACATGCAGTCTCAGGAATAAGTTTGGCAAAACATTCATAAATTTGCACACCTTCATCATCCTATTTGTCAGGAGCTGTTTCAATTATTTTGAGCCTTATATTTCATCAATTATTTTCATTTAAGCTCAAGTTTCACAAATATTTAGAATTAGACCAAGAGCCTGAAACCTATATGGGCACTGACAATTGTGTTTTTGTACATAGTGAATTGTAGTTATCCAACTCAATTGGTTTTCATTCACTCACTCACTCATACGGGTTTGCTGAACTCCATTGAAAAAACAGGTGAGGATGGAAATAATCAACAATGATATATGAATTACTCCCTCCAGCCTGTCTATTTCATCAATTTCCAATATTTTAATTTTATAAGGCAGCATGCATAAACTGTGAAAATACCGATCAGTTTCCCACATTATCCTGTCTTCCTTATTTTACCAATTATAACTATGAACAATTTTGCTCAATGTACTAGTGGAAGAATACTATGAGGTATTCCAAGATGGTATTGTATTGTAAACAAAACAATAGGGATAATGGTTTTAAAAACAGAAACTTCTGCGCCAACCAGTGTGATCTGGTTTGTCTCCTTGCTCTATTTAAAAAGTGTGGAGAGTGGGAAGTTTCATGCACAAGGTTTTTTTCTCTAATTTGGTGAGATTTATTAAACAGGGAAGCATTTTCTCATTGATTCTTGTATACAGGAAAACTCCTACAACTGGGTTGGTTTTCGCAATAAAATTTCAGTTACCTACCTAAAAAGACATTTTCTCCCGGAAATTTTCCTATATTCAAGTTTCCATGCAGCCATCTAGTTAACATGAAGCCCAATTCATGTTTTTTCATTATCCATAGTTAACATGAAGCCCAATTCATGTTTTTTCATTATCCAAAAGGGGAAGATCTACACCCAAGCCAAACTTACCTGGCCACCCTCACCACATGTAAAGATATGAAGGTGAGAATCAATCTAATCAATACAACCGCCTTGAGACTACAAGTGGTCCACATGGCTCCAGCACTAAATATTTATATTGTATATCATATTAGCAGGTTTTCATGTAGATTTTGAGGCTAAAAACTTCATTCCACACTTAAGAACAGATGAGAAAAACATTTCCAATATCCAAAAGTGTAAAAGTCAAGACAAATTAGAGAACACAAGTATAGAAAGTGCAGAGTATTGAGATATCTCATCAAGTTTCAAATGAATAGTCCTTTAAGTAGTGGCATACTAATTTTCAAATTTATTGAGTTCAAATATTGGTATATGACATTTTATTTATTTAATTCATGAAAAAAGCAAGACACAGAAAGAAAGCACCGTGAGCTCTATGAAATTCATGAAGATAATTCAGGCAATCATAAATCAGGATCTTCCCTGGTCCTGATTATAGAAAAAAATGAAAGAACTAATCAATTTCAAAGAAGGAAAAGAAAAGGACAAACCAGCATTATTTGTGCGGTATCACTTGAACATATTGTCTTATCCATGTTAGTCTTAAAGTTCCACCTCAGAATTGACATTAAAGAGCTTTCTCCCACCACTTCAAGATCTGACAGAGACCTGCCAAACAATTTGCATCCATTTCAAAACTGATTTCTTGTTATCAATTACTAGTAGTGAGATTAACAAGGACATCGATTTCCACTAAAGGTCAGATACAATCATGTTTTGCCATTATGCACAATCAAATTAACCAAAGGTACGAAGAGTGCTTTACCTTATTTCAATCACTCCGGTCTGATACAAGAGAATGAGCCCACACTCTTTTTCATCCTTCTTGAAGGTTGTAGTCCAACAACATTGTTTCAAAAGGTCCACCTTGTGAATGGGATTCCTATCGCCCTAAAATGAGAAAGTTTCACTTGTCGGAAATAGGAGATACAAAAATGTTGAAAATAAAAATGAGTATTATCAAAAGTACCTCCTTCAGAGATTACCTCCTTCAGAGATTTCATAGAGTTAAGTGTCAATGGCATCCTCATCATAACAAACCAGAAGAAGAAAAATTCTCTATGTTTCTGCCTGGGAATAGGCTTGTTTTTGGCAGAGGTTTTCACCGTCAAGTTTAAGTGAACGTACTTCCGGAGATTAAGCATTTCTTTCCGAGTTCACTTTGGGGTTCCATTTTTCTGGGTTCAAGTGAATTGAAATTTTTGGCTGCCACTTCTCTGCATAGACAGGTTTTTCTCAGAAATCCAACAAAAAACTTTTAAGGCAGAAAAAAAAATTTAGTCTCTGCCCAAGATGAAAAAATACTCAGCCTATGGATATGCATAGAAATTACAGTCAATTCCTTTTCAGATGTGAATGATTGAAGCAGGACTTATCCTGCCAGTATTGTCATCTAGAACAACAATATGTGCCATTTTCGGTCCATAATGAACACTTCTGACTTCATTATGATCTGCCTTACTTTTGATTCAACGTTCCCTCTGAATTACTTATTACCAACTGACAGTATTGGAAAACGATTTCATAGCCAGAGACTTAATAGGCTGAACCTAGAGTTGGGTACAGTGTCAGTAAGAAATAACCACTGGACAATGTACTTAAAATCAAGCATTGCCACCTGAAATATTCAAATTGGAAAAAATCTCCTTTCAGACTCATTTGGTTAACATCTTGGCTTATCAGGTGACAATTCAGGCCTAAGACTAATGAGATGAGAGGAAAAAAAAAAAAACAGAATTGATTCCCACCGTGCCACATTGAAATCCCCACAGGCAAGTCTAGTTCCAAAAAATTGCAAACAAAGACTAATGAGATGAGAGGAAAAAAAAAACAGATGATTCCTACCGTGCCACATTGAAATCCCACAGCAAGTCTAGTTCCAAAACTTGCAAACAGTAAGGTGCATATAGGAGAATTGAGGAAGGAAAAGACAGCTGTGCATTGAGGCCCATCCCCTTGGTGCAAAGTGTGGACTGCACAATTACCAATAAGTAATTAAGATGACAAGAAGAAAAAATGTCATGCATTGTTGGTCAACATATCATCAGACACCACAAAATAACTTTGATTTAATGTCATTGGCAAACAAATTAGCAACTTATCTAGCGCCAGTGCAAAATACATTAGTTCTAGTTGTTATATCATCCACTGTTGGCAAAAGAAAGAAGAAATTCAGCAACAAATCCCCAATGAAATCTTACTGCTTAGTTCAAGTTTGTTGTAAGATGAACCAGCTAATCCGAAACAAACATTAAAAGAAGGAAAATACACACACAAATTATCCAATCTTCAGAAAGAAACCTCACAACTGTTCTTAAACTTCTTCACAAAAAAATATAATTTAGAGAGCACCAAATATGTTATGTGAGAGCATTGGGTGTGGAACAACATTGTCTTTTGAATGTTATTGGCAAACATTTTAATGAATTTAACTTCAAAGTCTCTATAACTTATACTAGCAATTATAGGTTCAATGGCTGATCAACCAAGCTTCGATGGTTGCTCGGATGAGTGATTAAGAAATGGGTACAGTGCTTTCTCTGTTTCTCTCTCTTTTTTTTTTTTTTCAAGATGTACAAGGAACTCTTCTCTGGTGGTAATAGTTATGAAGAAAAGAAAAGTAGCTCTTAGTTAGACGTCCTATAAATGCTCCATAATGACATGGTACCATTGTGCCATGGCATGACAGCTGCTTAAATCTTATTTAGCTATTAGATCTGTCTAAGAATATTAAACACCAACTCTCCAATATCTCATGGTCAGTAATTCCTCAATGAGTTCTCAAAACCAAACTTGTCAGAACGGTTTCAAGTTTCTGAAAAATGTTTTCTAAATGAAATTCACTAATAAAGACACATGATATCCAATGCAAAGAAATTCAAAGATATATGATACCTTCCTTTTCAGTTTCTTTGACAATGTGCAAACTTGTCTCATTTGCACTCCCCGTGAGCTTATATAGATGAACCTACATACTCTCAAATAGACATACAATCACTACACGCATCAAATCTTGAAAACCGTAAAAAACAAGGCACCCATACAAAATTCAAGTCTTACCATACCAAGTTCATTGCCAACAGCTAAAGTCAAAGTGAACGAGCATAATTCCAATGTAGATACTGATGCACTTGCACCATCGATATTGATACCTTTCACCTGTCCATAAAAGAAAATTTGGGCTTTTGATCAATATTGTCAAAGAAGCAAAGATGGTGAGTCCACAATATTGAAACCTTTCACCTGTAACAAAGTACTAACCTCAGGCCCCAAAACATAAACAAGTGGAAAAATTGGAAGTGTGGCATCCCATATTCCGACAGATCCATCCTGGTAACCTGCTACATATACTCTCTCAACCTGATAATTTTCAGCATCAAGAGGCTGGCTACGAACACCACCAGTCAAAGGCCAATCCATAATTCTTGGTGTATGTGCTACCTGAAGTTTGCAGCAGAAAATTTCTAATAGAAAAATTCCAAAAGGGTGGGAGAAACAACTGCTACCTGAAGTTTGCAGCAGAAAATTTCTAATAGAAAAATTCCAAAAGGGTGGGAGAAACAACTTTACTAAATATACCAATATAATAGAAAACAAAGATTTATTGGAACTTGTGACTTGTACTTTTGGAGTGGAAACTAACCAGTCAACAAGATAACTCAAGACTCCAATTGATAGTTGGGAAGCTTTTGCAAGAAAATGATTCTTAGGAAAAATACAAGGAAAGTAGAAATTAAATGACCACTTTGCAAAAAACAACTTTACTTCTTTCCCACTTCATAGAATGCAAAATAAGACATCACGAAAGTTGAAAATACTTTTCATTTTCTTCTAAGCCTAGCCCGCCTCTGAGGCATGATTGTCTACTGCCTGATAGTGCAGCAATGAGGAATGAAGAAAAGAATGGCATACCTTAAAAAGAGCCTTTGAGAACTGCCCAACTCCATTTACCAAACCCAGCTTTCCCACAGTCATGTATGGTTCAGCAATTGGTACGACCATGGGATACTGCACTGAAGAAACAGAATTTTGTTTCTGTTGCTGGGACATTAAGGAAGCTAAGCAAGCACCATCATAGAAATGCAGCTGTCCGGGATTTGTCAATATTAAGGTGCCTTTGGTTTTGCTAACACCATCACTTGGTAATAAAACCATATCAGCAAAAGAACCATTAAGAGTAAGATCTATGCGCCCAATGCACTCAATGGTTTCTATCCCAGAAGACCAATCAATGCTTATTATCTGTAAAAGACGTATTGTTAATAGAATATGCACATCAAAAAAGCTGAACAAATTTAAAAACAAAATGACTAGGAGACTAATTGTTGGATTTAATTATTAAATTAATGAGAAATCTAAAATCTTGCCACAACAGATGCGAAAAACTAGCACGGGTACTGAAATCGACTATAACAACATTGAAATTTATAAAACACTAACTAAATATAGAAAACAAAATATGCACAGAAGAAAATTGTGTAAACAGAATACCACATTGGCATATTAGGAAAGTACGCAAAAGCTTTTATGCTGTATTACACTGATTTCCATTCAGGTTAAATGACTTCCTTTCCTTATACCTCAGACAAATTCAGATATAAATTATGGCCTAATAAACCAAAAAATAAAAATCCTTATATTTTTTTCCAATTTTGTCCAAACCTTTAAAATTACAAGAATTTTAGCCAGATTAGTTGCAATTTAACCAACAGATCAAGTTTATTAAGTAAAACACTTTAAATTGTTGTTTCCTATCTTTTTCCCTCTTCCCTCCCCCTCTCTCTTCCCCACTCCTGCTTCCTCTCTTCTATATCACCATTAGATGCTAAACCTCAAACTGAATCTCCCATTCTCTAACTAATGTAATCAAATCTCCTCTTCTTCACCAAGTCAATCTCTTTTCTTCCATCTAAAATAATCCATCTCTAACCTAATCAAAGCCCAACAATCAGTCCCTCCTTTACAAGACAATAGTTGATCTTTATGTTCAATCCTGCTCTAGAGAGCAAGCTCTTTTCCATTCAACCAGGTTCAGTTTCTAATCAATATAGTTGTACAGTTAAGATCAATGCCTTCTCTAGAAAGCGCTTAAATGCTTTGAGTTGTAGAAGAAGATGCAGCTTGATGGGATGCTTCCTAGTTGTATAATCCATGATCAATGAGTATTCTAGTGAAAGGAAAATATATAAAGCTTATGAATTGTTTGATGAAATGTGTAAGAGATTTTTGGCATCTGAGGGTTGCTGCATCTAAAATCTCTCATCAAAATTTGAAAAATGACAATGATTTGTATTTTTTTTATTAGGCCTCAAATTACACTCCGCAACTGTTTCCCCAATGAAATTAAATTCCTTAGCATTCATCTTAGGATTTTAGGTAGCCACAAATAACTGATATAAGGCACACTTCCTGATGATTTCTATTAGAACATATTAGCTTTCAAAAATTGTAACCTAATCTGAGTTGGAAATCCCCACCGTTAGAACCTCTTCAGACCCAATTGCATCTCCACCATATATAAAAAGTTGACCACGACAATCATCACTTGAACCTTTTCCAGACCAATGCAAAATAATAACTGGGAGTCTTCTGTCGGCTGAAGATAATTGCAACTTAACAACATCCTTTGATAAATTTTCAGCTTTCTCATCTGCAGAAGCAGTAGCTGATAGGTTCCACAACATTATATCTCCATCAACATAACCAACAGCCAGAACTGAGCCATCAGTAGATGCCCAACGTTCCACAACATTATATCTCCATCAACATAACCAACAGCCAGAACAGAGCCATCAGTAGATGCCCAACACAGAGAGCTTATTTCTTTCTCCACCCTTTCATATTCTGATATATCATCAGAAAGGTTATTTCCCATGCCTTTGTGAAAACCAGCCAGTGTTTTACTCTTCAATTGAAGATCTTTATTGCCTTTAACTAGAATAACTTTATCTTCAGAAACATCCCAGAGAATAATCAATCCATCATCATATGCAATCAACAACCTGTAAAGGATAGAAATTCTTTGAAGTGCATCAAGAAGAAGATTAATATGGGTGCATTCCCAGAAAAAGTATCCAGATATGGATATATATATATATATATAGGGACATGCGTGCAACATAACACACACACACACACACACACACACACACACAAGATAAATGACAGAAATTCTTCTGATATGTGTATGTCTGTGTAGTCTGAATCTCTGTTTATAGAACCTGCTTCAACAAAACTTTTTCTAAAGCAATAGCATAATTACCAGTCCACATTTATTGAGTCACATGTTAGCTTAAAGAGCAGTATCCAGTCCCATATGCCTCTAGATGCAGATATTTATTATCTCAGAAGATTACTATGTTCAATGCTAGTAGATAAATTGTAATCAGTCAAATTTATAAAAACCAGGAAAATATTATTTTTATATTGGGAAGAAAAACATTGAAAAGAAGTTTGTCTTGCCTATTTCCTCGAGATGCAGGTTGAGGGAGAAGTCCAACAACAGAGTGATGATTAGGGGAGGACATCCCAGATGCTTCTGTGAAATTAAACAAAAATGTGAGACCAAGTAACAATACAGAAATAAGCAGGTAAGCACATGTGCACATGTACACAATGAGGTGACTACAAAGTAAGACAAAAATTAACACCATGCCACATTGTACCATGAAAATCACAACCTTACCAGTAACTAATCATCAATTTAAAAGGAATTAATCTGAAAACTGATACTTGAATGAAGCTGAGGTGACTACAAAGTAAGACAAAAATTAACACCATGCCACATTGTACCATGAAAATCACAACCTTACCAGTAACTAATCATCAATTTAAAAGGAATTAATCTGAAAACTGATACTTGAATGAAGTTGAAGTACTGATAAATGAAGACACCCATTGAATTTGAAGGGGAGGCACTCTATTCAAACTTAATCAAACAAGTCAAATAAATGAAATAATTACCAGCTATTGAATCTGCAGGAACATAATATGGAAGTAGTACAACTTTTGCGGCTTCAGCATCATATTTTAACACAGACACCATCCCATACTCGTCTCCGACATACCTAAAGTGATGATGTGACAAAGTTTATCAATCGAGTTATACTAAAATTTCACATGCATTTGCAGTCAATAAAGTCAAATCCCAAGTGGGAATACTATATAATATTATTATTTCCAGGTATTATACATGTAACTCAGGCCACAAATAACAGAGAATGCTGTTATATTTGACTCCCATCGCAAAGTAGAAACCAGTAGCCTTTGCTCTAAATCCCACACCTGCCAATGTCAAAAAATTGTTAATAAACCAATCATATAAGTCAGTGAGGGTAAAAATACTCATTAAAAAATGCAAAACAAAGAGAAATCAATACAGATGCTAAAGACATGAAACAAGAATGCAAATAATAGCTAGCAGTAAAACAGTGTTCAACAACCATAGCTTCAACGAATAAATTACCAGAATCTCATTTTCAGCAGTGATGCTGGCTAGGAAACCTTGGTTTTGTAGGAACTGTAAAATGTACAAAAAAAAGCTCAGTATATTGTACTCAAAATTGCCAAACTAAGAAGCACATAATCATAACTAGCAAGAAGCTTCACTTAACCATATTCAAGAGCTTCAACAAGGGATATTTGTGGATAATTTATTACTCGGAGCAATCAATTACAAATGGCACCCCTTAGTCATATTCAACTAACAACCTCAAAATTTTATACTAGAAACTCCTCTTAAAGGAGGATTCTGCTTGTGATTTCAGAGGAAATAACTAAAATTGCAAAGCAAAACATACAAGAAAATTGCCAAAAATAGAAACAAGAATCCATCAAACAGGTAATTGGTTTTGTGCTCACACACCTCCAAGTTCTTAAAAGGTATTTGCTTACGATACACAAGAAGCCCTTCAATGTTATCACCACCAATCACTTTTATCCTACCATCTCTGCAGCAAGTAGGGAGGAAAATTAAACCATAAAAAAGGAAAAAAAGAAGAACTCAGCTTAAAAAGTTGAAGTTGGTTTTCCTAACTAACTAAATAAGAAAATTAAAATAAACAGACTTACAGAGTTCCAACAGCCAAAAGGCTTTGAACAGGATCAAAAGCTATAATAGAAGCAGTGGCAGGAATCCCATAGTGAACATCAATACGTGGATTTATATCTTCAGGTCTCAAAATCTTCATCAATAAACACAAACAAAATTGAAGAATTAATTTCTGATAAATTCATTAAAATGTCTCATTTTCTTCCCCCACTTAATTATATCAGAAATTAACGATTGTCACCTGAGCAGCCGCTGCCGATGACGGTGGCTGATCGTCGGTGTTTTTGTGAAATAACTTAGCGAGCATGGTGAAACGAGGAGTAAGTGTTCCTTTCTGTTTCTCGCTTGGAATTGCATTTATTTCATGAAATTGAAGATGATGATCACCAGATTTTCATTTGCTTTTGTTTTGGTTTTTTGATGCGAAGCTGATGACTGGTCGTTTGTTAGTTGTTAATAAAAGAGTGTGTGTGGGGCCCATTTCATTTTGCCGAAGATGTCGTTTTGTTCGTATAGCATTTCTGAAATGGCCGTACGACATAAACGACAGAACTAGTGGATTCTCATGAGTCATGAGTCATAAACGACCGTATTTCTTTCATATATATGATATGCCCGAAACAATGGGTTATATAGGTGGTGGTTTTAGCCTATTGCAAAGTTAATGAACCGCCAGGCCCAGGCATATTTGGGCCAAATTAATAAAAAAAGCCCATAGAATTGGACCCAAGGGACAAGCCTGGAAATGAAAGAGTAAAAATTATGTAGATATAGATGATATGCAATGCGAGTGGAGGAAAGAAATATCACTAAAATTCTATCTACTCGTACTTAGAGTTGTAAATGAATCAATTTGCTAGTTAATTTGAGAAAATTTCATTTGAATTGACATGTTAAGTTCAAATTTTAAAATTTTTAAGTTCATTTAATAAATAAATCTAGCTTGAACTTTTGAATGAAGTCGTCGAATTACTTCAAAAGCCTACTCAATGATAAAAATTTAATGCTATAAATATATTTTTTTGTATAATTACAAATTTAAAAGACAGGAACTTTAACTTAATTTTTGAGGTCTAAGTATATTGTTATTGAGTTGAACTTGAATTTAACAAATCCAATTCAGTTCGATTTGTTTACATCCATTCTTAAAAGGATTGAGCAACAATAAATAAATATAATTGGTTAAATAATAAAGAATTTCTCAACTTTGATATTTTTTTCAATATTGGTTAATTTTTTTTTAATTTTATCAACTGAGCAACAATCCTCGGTGTTGATCATCATATAAGGGTTAACATTATTAATTTTAATAGTCATGTTAGTTGATTTAGACAATAGTTATACACAGGCTACAATTATTATGAAAATAAAATACACCCTAAAACTGTCAATTTCTAAAATTAAAAAATTGGCAAAAATTGTAAAAAGTATTAAAGTTGAAATTTCTTTTTAATTATTGACCTAATAATTAATATAAACAATATATATATATAAACAATATATATATATATATATATATATATATGAAAAAAATATTATCGTAAGCAAGTACAAGGGGAGTTATACAATATGCAACTAACATTCAAAAAAAAATAATAGATTTAAAAATATATATATGAAAAAAATATATCGTAAGCAAGTACAAGGAGTATACAATATGCAACTAACATTCAAAAAAAATAATAGATTTAGATATAAATATAGACATAGAAAGATATTATATATAGAGAGAAAGATACTAAATATATACAGGTAGATAAACATTGGATATAAATTATAAAATTAAATACTAAATTTAAACTTAGATAAATATCTCGAAATAATAAATATAATAACTAATTAAAAGATAGTAGTGTAGTACAATAAATTTTCCATTAATGTTAATTTATATATAATTAATATGGCTAAATATTTTCACATCAAGGCATAGCTTACTGGTAAATGTATATACTGTTTCGTTAGATTTTTAAATTCACAAGTCTTATAAATAAATAGTAATTCTTAAACTTAAAAAAAATATTTTAAGTAATCCAATCAAAATATAAAAAAATAAATAAAAATTCTATAAATTCTAAAAGCAAAAAAAAATAGAAACTTCACAGGTGTATAGAGACTGTAGACCATCCATCGGAGCTAATTTGAAAAGTTAGTATTGCGTGTATTATTTTTTATTATGAGAATTCACATGATTTTATTATGCAATTATTAAAGTAATGAAAATTTGAATATCCTAAACCTAATTTAATTAATTATAATCGTCAATCCTTGCCAATCTAATTTGGCAGCTCCCATGTGTTTCGTATAGGTGCTGTTTCATTTTCATGGCTTGGCCTATAAATAAAAAAAAAACAATAAAGAAAACTTAATTATATTTGTCATTGTCATTTTGTGTGTCTAATAAAAAATATAGATAAGATTGTGATTATTCAAATATGATAGAATAAATGCTTATTTTTTATCAATTTTGCTTTATTTTTGATAAAAAATAATATATGATATTACATTTTTAATTTTAACTTTTAACATATTTAAAAATTTAAAAGAAAATAAGAAAAAATGGGAATAAAGCAACCATTTTCAATATATATGATAGTAATTTTCAAACTACAAAGCGTTAATCAAGCCGAAAATTTGCATCAACACATTTACAATTAATTTATTTATTTACTTATTTTAGGTATTAGCATTGATGATAGTATCCCGCAATGACGTGAGATGTTGAACCCTTTATATGGACTCACATATCAAAATATACTAATGTAGACTTATATATTATAAGTACAATAATTTTTTTTAAAATAATTAATATTTTTATGATTTCGAATGGTGAGATGAAATGAAAGAGATGTCTTTCTCTTTAACTAGAAATCTTAGACATAAATGACTCTTAAACACTCGGAAGATAATGTTTTATGTATTTTATAGAATTACTCAACGTCAATCTAGATGAATTAAACCAATGAATTTGAATATTTGCACCCTTTATAGACTTGCTTCACATGAATCCGAATTGGTGTTTATTCTTTATTAACTTGTCTGATGTGAATCCAGATTGATTAAATCAGTGAATATTAAATACGGATGACTAAAAAAAAATATTGTTTTTATTTTACTGTGCCTTAATGCTTTTGAATTTTATTTTCAACTCTTACACACAGCCTTAAACAGGTTGGGCGTGCAATAAAAAATTATAGTATTAGAATACCAATAAAGTGATTCCATATTTTATAGTTGCAAATTGAATTGCAACATACAACGTGTCGTTATTACTTTATGACACGTATAAGATAGATTTTTTTTTAGGTATAAAAATGACTCGAGGAATAAATCAATTAGGTATAATTAATTTAATAAAATAATTATATGATTAAATAGTGATAACAGGTCAATTTGAGTTGGTATAACAATTTAACAAAAATAAGATATTTATTAAAGGGGAAATAATTTTATTCTTTCCATATTTATCTATTATCTCTTAATCTCCAATTTCAATTTTAATTGTAATTCATGTATCTCATCTTTTACATATTCTATTTTTATCAAATTACCATATTTTTAAATGTAATTTAACTCACATTAATGTTTTGCCAGTTCCATTGTGTGATTACTCTTAATCAATGATGTTATTTTAGAAAAATAAAGAACACCAAAAATTAAAAATATATATATATAAATATGAATAATGTAACAGTCTTTTTAATTTATGTGAAGTGGTATTTTTTTTCCTCCTGTTCTAATTAACGATGTTATTAAACTCGGCCATCTGGCAGCTAAAAAACTGAATGGATCGATTATTAATGGAACGATTTATTAGTGTAATAGTATTTAGAGTTTGAAAGTAGATTATTAAATATTATCATCTTTAATGTCAGATGAAAATCTAATTAAATACCGACAAATATAATTATAATAAGTAATAATTATTAAAGCAATTAATTAACTTTATCGAATAAGCTCTAAAATAAAATAAAAAACTGTGTTTATAGTTACTTCTTTTGAGTTTCGCCTCTTTTTTATACCAAAATTTTTTTATATTTTTAAAAATATTTATATACCTTTTTTTATATATAAGTATAATTTTGTTATTTGTTCGTATTCAATTTTCACCATAGATATATTTTTAGATATCCAATTTTCGATTTTGTTTGAATTTTTTTGTTACACTCAATTATATTTTACTATTTCTTAATAATCAAACTCCATTTCCAATTAAACTTATATAATTTGAATTTTTTCCAATTAGAAATATTTAACAATACAACCTTAATTAATCATATATGAAATCTTTCCTGAAAAAAAAAATCATATCTAAAATTGACACACACGTGTGATATCTAAAATTTTAACACACACGTGTTACATGCGCGGGCTCTGTATATTTATGCACGCACCACTGTAATCAACTGTCCACATTGCTCTCCATTATTTATTAATGGCTTCTTCAGCTGAGAAGCGACAGCAGCATCTGCCAAACATGTACAGCGCCACCTCAGCTCCACCACCAACGCCGTCATCGCAACCAAACGGCAACCAACTATCCTCCTCCGCCGCCGCAGACGCCCTCTCCCGTCTCCTCCACCGCCTCCCTCCTAAGCTTTCCCTTCCTACTCGCCGCTCCGCTCCTCCTACTTCTCCTTCTCTTATCTCCCTCTCCGACCCAAACTCTATTGACCTTCTTCTCTCTGCCTCTTCTCAAGATGGTTTCTTTCAACTGACTGATCACAATATTACTTCTCAACTCGTTAACTCATCCGAATCAGAATCGCTCTCTCTTTTCAAGCTTACGAGAGATCAAAAGGGATCGTATTTCCCTAAAAACTGGCCTCTAGGTTTTGAAGACGATGAAGATGGAAACGGCGAGTCGTTTTGGCTGGACGCAGAGTTTTCAACCGAGTCAGCGGAGTTGAGTTTATCTTCTTTGCGTGAGTTAACTCGGTCTCTAGAGAAAGTTGGGTTGGAAATAATTGAAATGCTTTCTCGTGCGGCAGGGTTTGAGAACCCGTTAAAGGAAGATCCGACCCAGATTTGTTCTTTGATGGTGGTGCACGAGGGCTCATATGCTGAGGATAAACCTGCAATATCGGGTGGTTTTTATCCATATATAGTCGGGTTACAATATCAAATCCGGATCCAGAAATTTTCATTGCTTGCGGATTCGGGTTGGGTTGCTGTTTTACCTCAAGTGGACTCGGTTATGGTTACTGTAGGCGATATTGCTCAGGTGAGTTTTTAGTTTTTAACTTTTAATTTATTTTTCTTGTTAATTATTAATTAGTAGGAGTATATATGGAAAATCTTTTAATTGCTTTTTCTTGTTAAATATTAATTAGTAAGAGTATATATAGAAATTTGAGCTAATATGAATTTTAATTTTAAATTTTATAAAAATGAATTATTTTACAACTTTTTTTCAATAATAATCCTTTTGATTAACGAAATGATTCAAATAGTAAAATAGGTTTGAACCAAACCGTTTTATTTTTACGAGATTAAATTTAAAATTTATGAAGAGATTACACATATAGAAACGCAAACACGATTATTTTTATATTAAAAAAAGATTTTACGTATACAAATAGACATTTTGTTAATGTTTTTTATTTCTTCTTTAAGAGGATAAGGTAATAATAAAATCATTATTAGTATTACCCACAGAGCTCTTTCAGACATGGGTCAAAGTGGACCCGGCATAGCTAAGGGATTCCACAAGAATGGCATCTGGCTCGAACTTTTGGGCTCCAGCTTTTTTGTAACCTAATAAGTAAGTTTTGAAAATTTGAGCCAAATGATGAATGCAATGTTTTTTGCGCTTCAAAAAATTTAGGCGGTAGATATTTATGTATAGGCCCAGCTGTCCTTATGAGACACAAGGCCTCTGTTTTTAACGAGGATGCATAAATAATTCAAAGCTTTCGTCAACTAGAAGAAAACAGAATGCTTACTATTTGGTTTCTGATGGAGATTCGAACTCGCTATATAAGGTTGTATACAGATGATTCCTGTATTAATGAATCAAAGTTAATTAGTTAAAAATGATTTATTTTAATTTTTAAAAATATTTGATTTCCTTCATTAATTAACAAAATCATATATAGGTGTGGAGCAATGGAAATTTGAAGAAAGTAAGAGGAAGACCACTGGCATGTATGGGAGATGGCAACAGTTCAAGATGCATATCAATGACATTACTTTTGACTCTTCCTACAGAAAGCACTGTCTCTCCTCTTCTTCCTGATGAGACAGTTAATGGCTACCATGACGATAATGGAAATGAAATTAGGGAAGAAGAAGATGAAGAACATGGCAAGAAAGAAGAGAGATTGTTTAGCTCATTTTCTTTTGAGGATTATGCATGGAAAGTTTATCATGAGCCTCTCCTCTTCAAAGACCCACTTGATAAGTACCGCATTTCTAGCTAGTTTATCTTTATGTCCCATATTCTTTTTCTTAGTTAATCTTTTGTTCTTTAATTTATGACTTCTATATTAATGTTTGTATTCCTTTTTAGTTGTTTTGCCTTTTCTTTTTCTTTTGGTATTTTTTCTTTTTTCCCTCATAATATATATATATATTTTTTTTTATTTCGGGATGATGTCCAGCTTTTAGGATTGACTAGTGAACAGACGGAAGATATTAATTTTATTGTTTGGGTTTGTGTTAAATGAATGTGATATTCAAATCATTTTGAATTTTTTATACATGAAATTGAATATCACAATATTTTCACTATCTTGTGCCTAGCTAACAGTGAAACTTATCATGCATATGTTAATATTCTTCAAATTGAAAGTAATTATATGCTACCAACGGAATGAACTCAAGTCTATTTTTATAAATAAAGAAAACCTACATCAATGAAGCAAATATTCGTTGAAAACAATATTTTTTGAGGCCGAGGGTTTGATTCTCGTGAATAAAGCAAATATTCGTTTAAAACGATTTACCCTTAATAGAGTGAACCAATATGAACAAGATTTAGTTCAGTCTAATAGACCCTGAAAGCAACAGAAATAACAGAAGCAATTGATTGTGACAGTTGGAGAAATGGGTAGCTATAAGAATCAGAAACAGACTGTAATAAATATCTCCATTAAAGACTCTTTTGAAGGAAACCTTGTAGCAGTGTGTTACAGTTGCCTTAACTTGTAAAAAAAGTGATGTAGCAACCAGAAAAGAAAGAACAAAGTACACAAGAAGAGTATGATCATGTTTGTGTAGTCACTAGTAGAGGATAAAAAGGGTTTTCTTAGCCTTTACTTTTCTCAAACATAAAGTTACTAATGATTTGGATATGGGTTTTTTACTATTTGGCCCCTCAAAACCATATTTCATCATTAATTAATTAATAAAAAGAGACTTAATAATGCATCAACTGGACTTAAATTGATAGTTGTTGGGGACAAAGAAGTACCACATGCTTCTGATCATATATAAGGTAGAAGGTTCAATAATTTTAAAAATAAGGAAATAATTTTATTAATTTCATTTTGCACCAACTTTAAACATTGACACTTGAAGTGATGATTTGGTGAGGTTTGACCACCTTGATAATCTTTTATATTTTCTATACAACTGGATAACAATCTTTAAAATCAACTAATTCAATTTGATCTATTTCATTTTTTATTAAAGCAAAAATTAAAAATACAAATTGATTTATCCAAAAAATATTCTAAAATCTAAAAAAAAAAATTGAATCAATGCGGTTCAATTTGATTTTATTGATAATTCAGTTTTATTAGATTGATGTACATACTTCTTATATGCACCCATCTCAGATATAGACACTTAACCATTTGATGTACATACTTCTTAGATTGATGGTTATTCCTAATTGACATCTAAGAGAAAATAACGTATGGTCTACCATATTTACTATATACCATCAACCACAACGTCCCTTTTTTGTTACAAAATTTTCTTAGACAAAGACCAACTTAAACTTTGAAATCACTCTTCTCACCCTTTCAAAGAAACTGTTGGAACAAGAGAGGGTTCCAAGGCAAGTAGTTAACAAAAAGTATAAATAAATAAAAAATTGAGAAAGACAACTCTCCCTCCACCAGTAGCCTAACTCTGCAGTTTCTTGAAGAAAAACCCTTCTCACCAAATCCATATTGAACTAACACAAAATTAAAGAAAGAAAAAAACCCTAATTCTATTGTAAGTTTCTAACTTTTTCTCTCTCTCTCTCTCTATTAGTCTTTTTCTTATCTTGCTCAATGTTGTTCTTTTATATTTCCATATCTCTCCCCTCTTTTCTCTCATCAATTCCACTTGTCTAATGCAGCTATCGAAAAGAAAAGCAGGTCCTCTGTTTTCCTCTGTCACGGTAGCCATGAAGCACAAGAAAAGCAACAATCTTTCTGTTTTTGTTGTGGTTTTCTCTGTTTTTCTCTTTGGAGTCTTCATGTATAATGAAGACGTTAAGTCCATGGCAGAATTTCCATTTTCTTGGCCTAAAAATCAAGAAATTCAAGAAGAGCCATTAAAACGTGAACATTCAGTTCAAGAAACTACCGTTTCTTCTTTAAGTTCAAGAACTTCGCTTGAAGAACCTCACGATCAAGAAACTCGAGAATCTGATGAAAAGAAAAAGCAGGTCCCCTCCTGTTTTCCTCTTCACGGTAAGCCATGAAAGCACAAAGAAAAGCAACAATCTTTCTGTTTTTTTGTTGTGGGGTTTTCTCTGTTTTTCCTCTTTGGAGTCTTCATGTTAATAATGAAGACGTTAAAGTCCAAATGGCAGAATTCCATTTTCTTTGGCCTAAAAATCAAGAAATTCAAAGAAGAGCCATTAAAAACGTGGAACATTCAGTTCCAAAGAACTAACCGTTTCTTCTTTAAGTTCAAGAACTTCGCTGAAGAACCATTCACGATCAAGAAAACTCCGAGAAATCTGATGAAAAAATCCCCAATATTCCATTATTGCTGCAGTTAAAGACGATAAACAGAAATTTGAGTTGCCTGTAATTGAATGAAGATGAAGAAGAAGATGACATTGAATTGCCCACCAGAAAGAATGTGAATCTTTTTACAGGGCATGGGTTTTTTTGATAAATGAGACAAGGCCTTTGTAATAAAGAAGATGAATGTGAGTTCCTTAAACTGCACCAAGCTGGACTTGCCTTAGAAAATTTGGAAGAAAGATTCTTTTGTTTAAGAAATGGAAATGGCAACCTAAAGATTGTTCGTGTTGCAAAGTAAGTTCGAAAATTAGAAAAGCAGGGTATCCATTTTGATAGAATCTTGAAAATTTTCTTTTTTAATGTAACGCGGGTTAGAGTTATTTTCTTGCCCTTTGGGTTGAAAAAAAATTAGGTTAATTTTGATAGATTCCTTGAAAGTTTTTGGACCTTTTCCTTGAAATGGGGTTTTTAACCAGATTTTGTTTTTGTTTTGTGTTAAAAGGTACAAGCCAAGGGCATTGCTAAAAAAGGCTAAGGAATAAAAGGCTTTATGTTTTTGTTGGATTGTGTTAAAAGGTACAAGCCAAGGGCATTGCTAAAAAGGCTAAGGAATAAAAGGCTTATGTTTGTTGGAGACTCATTAAACCGAAATCAATGGGAATCAATGATTTGTTTGGTTCAATCTGTGATTCCTCCTGGTAGGAAGACATGGAGGAAGGAAGGTTCTCTTGCTATTTTCACTATGGAGGTACCCACTTTTAATTTTTTATCTTAATTTTAGTGTTAATTATCTTTATGCTCTTAATGATAACATTAATGAAAGGAATCATTACTTTTTCTAGCTTTTCTTTTGAGTAATTAATACTTAGATTAGCGATTTGTTATATCCCTAATTACTTTTCCTTACTATATAACTTCACGAAGACTGTGATTGGCCATGCAAAATTACGTCACATGCATATCATTTTATCCTTTTCATACTTACGATTATAAGAAACAAGAAAGCAAGAGCATACATATATAATTTATATTACATTTTTGATATTTTGATATTAGTTGATTTGATTCTTGTTTTACAGGATTACAACTCGACAATAGAGTTCTATTGGGCCCCATTTCTTGTGGAGTCAAATTCGGATGATCCGAAAATGCACAGTATTTTGAACCGTATAATCAATCCAGAATCAATCAATAAACATGGTGTTAATTGGAAAAATGTGGATTACTTGATTTTTAACACATACATTTGGTGGATGAACACTGCAAATATGAAAGTTCTGTAAGTATATATATGCTTAATTGGGTGTTTTTTATTTTTTTGATTCGAGTTGATTTCATTTATTATTTTCTTTGTTAATTAGACGTGGGTCGTTCGATGAAGGAGCCACTGAGTATGATGAGATCCAACGGCCGGTAGCTTATCAGAGAGTTTTGAATACATGGTCTAAATGGGTAGATGAAAATATAGATGCTAATCGAACCACTGTCTTCTTTAGTAGCATGTCTCCTCTACATATCAAGTAATTATCTTTTCTTAAATTCTTATTATGAGTTTTCTTTTTTAATATTAATTGCTTAATCTTAGTTAATATCAGTCAAATTGATGGCCCAACAAGGACTATTAACTTAACTAATAAGCAATTTTTTAATTTTTTAATTCAAATTTGTTTAATGGAGACAAGAAATTTTTGTGCAATTAGGTATATATTAGGTGATTCTTGGTGGTTGATGTTGGTTTTATGATTAGTACGTACTGATTTAACATATATATAATATACGTAAGTATATAATCTCTGGTGGGTTACCCACTAATCATTGTATATTTATAAAATTGATTTATTTATTTATTTATTTGAATTAATAGGAGCTTGGATTGGGATAATCCAGATGGGATAAAATGTGCAAAGGAGACAACTCCAGTTCTCAATACGACAAGCCGTTTGAATGTGGGCACAGACCGGAGGTTACTTGTTATAGCAGCAAATGTGACAAAATCAATGAAAGTGCCTGTTCATTTTATCAATATCACTACTCTTTCAGAGTTTAGAAAAGATGCACATACCTCAGTCTACACTATCCGCCAAGGCAAGATGCTAACACCGGAGCAGCAAGCTGATCCGGCGACCTATGCGGACTGTATTCATTGGTGTTTACCTGGATTACCTGACACGTGGAATGAATTTCTTTACACGCGTATCATTTCTCGCTCATGACCTTTGAAGAACCGCACCCCTCTTTTTTTTTTTTTTTTTTTTTTTTTGAAAGAACCGCACCCCTCTTTTTTTTTTTTTTTTTTTTTTTTTTTTTTGTCTTTTCATTTTTTTCCTTTATAAATGTGTTCTTCTTGTAATTTTTTCCCTAAATTTCCTCTTTTTAGCTTTTTATAGCTTGAATTTTAGGTTCTCATCATCCACAACTTTACTTGACTGAGGTGGGAAGCTTATTAGACATGGAAATTTTGTGGTAATGGGTCAAAAACATGCCTAAGATGAAAAAATTGGACAAATTGGATATACTTGTAATTTGAATTGTATAATCCAAATTAATAAAGTAAAAAAAAAAAAAAAACAAAAATGTATGTACAATGCAACTATCTTGGCTATTCTTTTTTTTTTTTTCTTGTGTATATTTTAGTTTGTTCGTCTTTTTCATTTGTTCTGAATTGGGATCTATATTCCTTAAATATGAGTGTAAGAATTTAAGGAAATTTGTAAGAGAGAGGGAGACATGTTTCTTGCTATTATAATCAAAAGCCTAAAGCTTATACTTTGCTTTTAGTAAAGCTAAATTTGGATATTTTTATATTCTAGGTTCTCTTTGCCTCAAAAATAGTTAGTGACTCCGCAGTTGTAGAAACTGTATACAATTAGTCGTGTATGATAAACAATATAATTATATGGGCTGAATGTTTAATATTATTTTGAGCTGGTAAAGTTTTAGTGTTTCAGACTTACTACGGGCCTCGGGGGCCTTAAGCTTACCTGGGCCCTAGTGCCGGTCCGGCCCACGGAAACGGGTCGTGACATAACATCTTTTTTTTTTTTTAAATTCTAATATAATAAAAACAAATTGATGCTAAGACACAAGAACCTGAAAAATATATTCTATTTTTTGAAAGATTAAGATTTTAAAATTATGTGTGCATGTTTTTTAAATTATGATAAACATGATAAAAGAAAAAAAAATTATTCACCATTTGTTACATTTGCATAAAAAAAATTATTCACCATTTGTTACATTTGCATTTAATTTTAATTTAATTTATTTAGAATTGTAGCTTAGGTTATGGGCTTTTCAAACCCTCTGCCCTTAGTTTCTTACTTTCTGCAAGGCCTTCACTGGCTCTTCAAATCAACTGTACAGGTTTAATGGGCTATCCCTGCTGTATTGCTAGCCCAATCTTCAAATTGACTGTATAGGTTTAATGATTTGAATATTTGCATATATTTACAACAAAATCCATTTAACATAATGAATATTCTGAGATTGAAACTCACATTTTCTTTGAATTTGTTCACATTAATTCATTATTCATATATGAGTGATGGTTAGAATCATATGTGGAATTGGCTTTCTAAGGTGTTTAACGTAGGGGTGAGCAAACGGTCGATTCGGTTTAAACCGAATCAAACCAAGGACATAAAATATAGACCCAACTTTTTTGCACACCCCTATCTCTAACGGACCCTAATCACGATGTTAGTGCATGACACTTAAAAAAGGCTTAGAAAAGCCAAACCTTCCAACGGAATTCAAATGGTAAAGCAACAGCAAGCTCTCCAAATCCAAGAAAGTGCATTAAAAATGAACATGGAAAAGAGAGAGAGAGAGAGAGAGACAGATTCATTGACTTAAAAAAAAAATTGCAATAAAGCTTTAATAGTTCCCCAAGCATTATCACCTTACCTTTGCATGTAGGAGCGCAGCTCAAATGGAGGTTCAAAGGGGCTCTGCTGTTAAGAATTAATCTCAAATAATTCAATAATAACCTAGATCGTGCAAACCACTAGATTCAACAAAATAGATTGAATAAGAGAACGCTAGATCGTGCAAACCACTAGATTCAAAAAATAGATTGAATAAGAAAAGGTTGCGTACCTGACATCGTTGTTCGTAAAAGGTTGCGTACCTGACATCGTTGTTGGTCGATCTTGATGTGTAGAATTAGGTTTGCAGCCTTCCAGAGAATTGAAGAATCGATTAGCGGAAGCAATACGAAAGGAACGTAAAATTGAATCGTATTCAACTCCTCTGGGGACCACTACCTTTATATACCTGTAGCGTTAGTATAATTTCTATTTCGGTCCTTTAACAAAATAAAAATTATATAATGGTCTCTACACTTAATATTTATAATCAGTTGATACCTCAATAGTCAATTATTCACAATCAAGACCACATTTGAAATTGACTTTACACAATTGGACTGCTGTACATATTTTTTTTTACATATTAAGCCCACAATAGAAAATTAAATCCAACAATTTGATCTAATACTTTGTTCTCAATATATTTGAATCGGGCTGCCTCTGAAACCATTTGGATAAAAGAAACTAGAGGTTTAGCAATGTCTGCTGGTAGAGAACTTTTTTGAAGATCATATATGTAACATTCGCCATAGACTCATGACTAAGCTGCATCATCAACTACACTAACCAATTTCCCTAACATGACATTAATTCATTATAGAAAGTGTAGGCATGAAAACTACATGCAATGTGATCATCATGTCTGTTTCCAACATGGTCACCAACAAAAGTGAGATCAAGCAAAACAATAATAGAACAATAATAATAATACAGAGTGTAACCATCAACCAAAATGAGTAAATTTCATAATAAAACATATCCAAAACAAAATAGAGCATTCAAAAAACATAACGTATACATAAAGAGCAAACTCCCACTAAAACTAGACAGTCTCAAACAAAACGATACCCATATGAGCGTTGTGCTCATGGAAAACTTTCGTTATCAAAACTTTCGGTATCACTGCCTTTGTAAGCGGATCCGCAATCATAGAGTTTGTTCCAATATGCTCTAAGGATATCTGTCCACTCTGTACCCTCTCCTTCGTAGCCAAGAACTTAATGTCAATGTGTTTTGAGAAGAGCTCCTGTTGTTGTTGGAGAATAAAACGGCTGACCTGCTGTCACAATACAACTTCAGTGGTCTTTCTATTCCACCTACTACACGCAGCCCATTGACAAGGTTTCTCAGCCAAATAGCTTGATTGGATGCCTTATAAGATGCTACAAATTCATGGTGGAGGTTGCCACTAGAGTTTGTTTCACACTCTTCCAAGAAATAGCACCACCAGCCAATAGAAAAACATAGCCAGATGTGGATTTTCTTCTGTCTTGGCATCCAACGAAATCAGAATCAGTATACCCAATGATCTCAAGCTGATCTGATCTCCTATATGTGAGCATATGTCCCTTAGTCCTCTGAAGATATCTCATAACTCTTTTGGCTGCTTTCCAATAATCCATTCCTGGATTGCTAAGATATCTACCTAACATGCCAACTATAAAAGAAATGTCTGGACGAGTACAAACTTGAACATACATAAGACTTTAAGACTTCCTATAGCTGACGTATAAGGAACCTTTTGCATTTCCTAAATTTCAAGTTCACTCTTTGGACATTGTTGATTACTAAATTTATCACCTTTTGCAATAGGGGTATCCAATGGTCTTACTAATCTCATTGAGCACTTATATCAATATAGCTCTTTTGTGATAATCGCAAGGGAATACCTCGAGAACGGGTCTCGACTGTATCTGAATCCCTAAAAACAAAGAAGCTTCACCTAAATCGTTCATTCTCAAAGATGCTTTGAAAGAAAAAACTTTTGTTCATGTAGCAAGACTTTACAATTAGTAGCAAGAAGTATGTCCATCCACATATAAAGACCAAAAGATAAACCTACTCCCACTGGACACTTATGTACACCACAATTTTCAACATTTGCCTCAAAGCCAAACGAGACAATTACTTAGTTGAACTTAAAGTACCATTGACGAGAAGCTCGCTTGAGTCCATAAATGGATTTCTTTAATTTGCATACCAGATGTTTTGGATCTCCAATTACAAAATTTTCTGGTTGCACCATATATATTGTTTCATCAATGTTGCCATTGAGAAACGTAGTCTTAACATCTATTTGATGAAGCTCAAGATCAAGATTTGCAACTAAGTCCATGATTGTCCTAAAAGAATCCTTCGAAGAAACTGGAGAGAAGGTTTCTTTATAGTCAGTCCCTTCCTTTTGAGTAAAGCCTTTTGCTACAAGACGTGCGTTATATCTTTCCACATTACCTTGAGAATCCCTTTTGGTTTTAAATATATTTGCAACCAATGGGTTTCTTTCCTTCAGGTAATTGAACAAGATCCCAAACTTGATTGTCTTGCATAGACTTATACTCTTCGTTCATTGCCTCAATTCACTTATGAGAGTCAGAACTCTGCATAGCATGATAAAAACTAACTGGATCATCATCTATCATGTCTACAGTATCCTCATGTTCCTGAAGAAACACTATATAATCATCTGGAATAGCACTTCTTCTCTCCCTAGTAGATCTCCTCAAAGGCATTTGAACAGACTCTAATTCTTGAGGTTGTTGAATTTGTTCTTAAGGAAGAATAGCATTGTCTGGAATTGGATCTTGAATAGTGACAGGAGCAACTGGAGTCTGTACGCTATCAGAAACAACAAAAGGAATGAGAACCGAATCATCCTTACTTGGTTCCTCTTTAAAGACAATGTTTCTTTCTTTATTTCTCCCTCCAAAATCAACATCCTCAAAAAATGTTGCAATTCTCGTTTCAAAAAAAAGTTCTGGAAGTAGGATTATAAAAACTTTTTAACCCCTAACCGGCTCAGAATATCCAAACAAAGTAGCTGCTGAAGTTTAGAGGTCCAGATTTGTTTCATTCGCTTGTCAGGCCGGCTTCAGCGGGAACATTCCCAAAACATAGATGCTTAACTAGCTACGTCCAGTCCAAAGTCATAAGGTGTTTTAAGCAACTGCTTTAGATGGAAATCCTATTGAGAAGAAAGCTGCGTCTTTAACGCTTCACCCACAGAGACTCTGGTTAAAGTAGAATGACTAAGTCATACTCTTACCATATCCATAAGGTCCTTTACGTCTCTAGATTTAACACCATTTCATGCTGGGAGTACAGGCATGTATAGTTGAGGGACCAATCCACATTCCGTAGGAAAAGCCGCAAAAGGTCCTGGACGTT